AGAAAGTAGCGTCCGATAAACGAGATATCGAAACATAAAAGTTTCGATAGATAGCTTCTTGTCTCCAATTTAACTAGATTTTCTATCTTTCCCTTTTCCCACTAAATTTATACCAATTGAAAATTCTCTCGTAGAGTTCTCCTGTGTTTATCTAATTTATGGTAATAAATGTTTCTCTGTACGACTTAGTTTGTGTTCGAAGTCGGACTATAGTGGTCAAAGTAAAAGATTCTCGCGCGAAAGATGGTCATGCCTCCTTCTTGAAGCAACAGACCGTCCCCCTATCTCGTTCAATTAATTTCTCGGCCGAGTTCGTTTGTACCTCTCTTCCTCCCGCTATCTTCCTATAAATTTTCCAATGTTGCAGCGTCACTTTCTGCACTCGCGATAAAATTCTTTCCGCCCTGTGCCGCGAGGTAACACGATTTTGGATTTCACCGTTCGGGCCGATCGTTTATGGTCGGTCGGTGGAATTCTTCTTTCAACGAGTGTTTGTCCGATGCGCCTTGTTTTCGCGACGTTTTCAGCCGGAGATCGCACTATTCGGAAAGCAGAAATCTCAATTGAATACAGACCTGTGTACTTGTGTACACAACCACAGTTAGCAACAGTGACGTAGACGACGACGCACAGAAGCGGCGATTGGCTGGTAAAACAGTTGCTATCTTATCTTTTTCCCCGTGAGTGTCAACACTCGCCGCTCGGCGCGTACAATCTAGCGTGCACAGGGAGCGTGTAACTTTTGCGGCCTCCGTCGCCAGCAGCAACATTTTTTTCTCCCACGTTGTCTCAAGCTTATTTCCTGACATTTCATCGCTCTTGTACTTTTAAGTCGCGTTCGAACTGTTCAAGTTAGTCGAGTTCAAGTCGATTAAGTTCAAACAACCTGATTTCAGAAGGATTCTTTTCATGGATAGTAAAAAGGATGCTGTTATGGTCGTTATGAATGTATGTAAAATGTTTATACTAATTATATATACATATATATATATTAAAATACATAATTTACGAGCATCTGAATGTGCTTAACTCAGAAATCCATCCGAACATTCACTCTGTTTGGGTTTTTATCGAAAATAGTTAGTTGATCGATGACGTGTGTGAGTCAGTAAGGGAACACGGCTGCCTAATTACAAGTACATTATCAAGGTAAGAACCTGCCCACTATCTGCTCCGCGTTACTTTTCGCGGATTCGTCTCCGTTGTTCCGTTAAATGCGATTCTCATTTGGGATTAATTCGACGATAATTAAAAAGCAAATTGACGAAAGATCGTACGTTTTACACGATTATAGACGTTGTCGTGTTTTGATTAAAATATCGAACAATTTGTTAGCGGGAGATGTTCGTCGAGTATACTTCGAAGTATATTAGAAAAGATTGGATATGATTTCTTTTCCCTGTTGTTGAAACGTGAGTTTGTTTTGATCTCGTTGTACCAGTTTCGTTGACTTGTCGGATAATTTCGCGATCATAGGGAAGAGATTTATCGCGGAAAAGGCACGCGAGGCATTCGAGCTGGCTTGGTCGGCGAGTCGCGAATCGTGCCGATGGAAATCAGGTTAAATGACAACGAACGTAGCCTCACGATCGAACGTGTCGAATCGCGACGAGTTTATTTTCAGCTCGGTCTAAGCTTGCGCATATCTTATGTAAAGTAACCGCGTGTGCGTGGACAACAGGTCGTTTGAGCCACAGGTGCGGTACCTTGTAGAAAGATGCAACACGCTACACCGATTGTGAGTAACCCGTTGGCAGGAGAACTTCCATCAAGAAAATGCGATAGATTTCATTTAATAAAATAGTCTGTCCTTCTTCCGCTATAACGAAATTTTATTTAGTGCAAAGTTGTGAAAACAGACGACAACGACGATGGGATAAGTGCCAATCTATAGAAACAAAAGAACGTGGTACAGTAAGGATACGTATAATGAGAGTTCATTGATTTACCCCATTAGCTATTTTTCGTTTGTGTAATAAATGACGTTGTATAAGAGAAGAGTTGTAGCGGGAGATTCGATCAACGAATATTAATCGGACAGTAAAGTAAAAAATTGTGCTCGAGTAAACGAAGTTGTTATTTTCCTTCTGACTTCTTCGTTTCGCGCCAAAATGGAATTTTATTCTATCGCAAATCTCTCCTCCCCTTCTGTGTCGTTTCTAATCGCGTATGTCTGTACGCGCAACAACGATGATCTAATTGCTGGTAATCGAGCCGCTCCTTTCATTCGAGAACGACGACGATGAACCGCGTAGATTAGCATTCTCCTATCAAAATTTTTTACCACTCTGAACGTATTGTTCTACGGCGGATGAAGATAATTCCGTGTCTATAAATAGAAACACAGGCTGGCAGAAGGAGAACCTAATAAAAGTACGCTCTACGGAGAGACCGTTCGCGTTCGACCGAGCGTGAAGTCGAAATAATACAGCGTCGCCGACGCGATTAATATTTAAGCGAATGAATACGAGGTTACAGAATAATTTGGAATTATACGTGCGTGGGATTTACATGAATTTGTACGACGAGCATGGCTTTTAATGTACGAAGGGGCAAAGAGACGAGCTGAAGAGAGGAGGGGGAGGGTACGAGGCAATGAATTCTTTTTCTCTTCTTCGGTTTGCTCGCCTATTAGCAGTAAATGGTTGAAGAGTAATTGTACTCGTCACTTGTGTCCGCCGCTAATGACGGATCATTTTGCAACATTGCTCCGTCCGACAACGTTCAACAACATCTCGTTCTCAGGAGGCAGATACACCATTTGAAAATTGCGGCGCCGCTTGCAACCTGTATAAACAATCGGCCATTACGCACCGTTATACGATAATCGTGCTTGACGTCAAATATTAAATGATTTCGCTGCGTGAATCAGGCTGTTTAAATTGTCCGGCTTGATTGAATGATGGCCGCTCCTCTAAGTTGGCCGACAACCACTTCACCGTAAATAAGATAGTACCCTATTCTGTGTATAAGAGTCGCCTCGTTATACAGGGTGTTCGATTCCTACGTCGTATGTATTATACCAAACGTTCGTCCTTTGGTCTCTTTGGTAAGCTTTGTAAGTATAAGGATCGGCTTGGAGCTCGTTACCGGTAAACGAGAATAGAAATAGCGTTTTGAGGAATACGAAGGTTGAAACGTTGTCGTTTACACGTTTGCCTTCAAGGGGAACACGGGGAAACGACTGGAAGAATTTTCTCCACGAGCTTACTATTCATTTGCTCTATCGGGTTTGCGAAAGACGCCGAATAGTAAATGGCGCAATAAATTCAGAAGTCATTCTAGTATTTGCACGAGCGTTTCACACTTAAGCAGAGAGTGAGAACCGTGGCGTATCGCGATCACGTGTTACGAAGACGCACGTAACGAGACGTGCAAATTAAAGTAACGAAGAGTTTAGTTAGCTGACGAGCCACTAACGGCATTAGTTATAGTTTTCGCGATCGGGAGGCACGACTGATCCTCGAGTTCGACTTACTCGATATATAAATAAACGTAACAGTACCCATTAGATTATTAAAAAGGAATGGAACGTCGCTGGTATGCATATTCAAACGTACTGGCCTCCCCTATCGTTGTCCCATTCGAGCGGAACTTTCTAACATCAACCTGTTAACTGTAAATCGAAACGAATCTCTATCGACGATGTTCTCCGCGTAAATGAATCACGCGCATGTACGCGAGCGATTAATGTCCCTGAAAGACCGCAACTGGACTTTCATCGGCGCGATCGTTACCGCGCGACTACGAACTTTTCCCTCGCGGTGAAACGCTTCACTGATGCAATTGGTAAACCGCGTGTCGTCGGTTAATTTTATAATCGCGGATGTTACTTGGTTCATTCGTTGTAGTCACAGACGTGGTCGACTTTGATCGATATTTTCCAATTTTTCACGACAAATCCGCGAGCCGCGCGGCGGCAGATAAAACAGCAGCAGATGCAAGAGAACGCGTGCAATCACCGTTTTGCCTTCAATTAATTTCTTCGATGCTAATAATTTAATGGATCTTGGTGCGTTATCGGCGCCGTTTCATCACGCATCGTGCTCGTGCGCCCGCTCGCTCGTACACGCTTCATGCCATTGCACTTACGTGCAACAACCAGATCTCAGTCAATACCGCGAAATTATCTCGAATCATTGTGTGTTTGCTCGATATCCATTGTGTTTATAAGGAAATTCGTGTACTTCGGCTTTGACAACAATCTAAGTACTATCGTCAGACAAACGATTTATTAATGATTTCTTTATTTCAAGAAGAATAATAAACTTACACATGTTTTTCGTACCGTGCTTACGATAGATCGATTCCTTAATTACACGATACGCATTATCGAAAGAACTTGAAGCAGCGAGTCTCTTCGGTCGTTTATGATATATACGTATATATATTATGTATGTATATATTACTCCATAAATAATCGTCTTAAGTACTACGTGCCGGCAGTAAAGAACATAGTCCGCGTTGTTATCGTACGATTTCATCGAATTTCCACTGTCTCGTGGATAACTTTGTGTAGAAACGTTTTTCTTTTTTATTGCAAACGCCGCATGAATATTCGATTGGTCGCGTCGTAAGAACTGAACGGTGCGTAAAATTAAAATAAATTGACTAGAGGACACTTATATAGAATAAAAAGCACGAGCCTTCTTGATTGTCTAAGCTAATGCGTGGAATATACCGTTATGGCGCGTTGATTTCCGTGCACGAGTTACGTATGCTATAAATAATGTATAAATACATCTGTTGGGTATCTCGTTTGTACGTACGGTGTGCTTTGGTACATCGTGTACTGCGAGCCAGGGGGAAATCATATTGGAAAACGAATGGTCGCTCGACGAGTGAACTCGTTAATCGACCAATTGCAGTCTGTGTGTAATCGTTAGGTTAAAATTATCGATTAATAACAACGGAACGTGATTGTCGAATCGTTAGAACCAGAACTTGGCCTAGTTATCGAATACTATGATAAATCGAAGAAAATTCCAATCAATTCCTACCTCCTTATCCTTCGAGTTTCCGCAATTATCGAAGCATCGCGCTGTTCAGCCATTCGAGCTTCGCACGACGACTTTCATTCATCGAAAACAACCATGGTTCCCCATTAAATTAATCGCACCAATCAAACTTTACTCTCACTTGAACTCTTCACCTTAACTCTTCGATCTTTCATCGCTCCCGTCTCTCAACACGAACAATCAAAACTTCGATATACATATAATCGAGCACTGATTCGATCCTCGACGACTAAATCACCTCGATGTTGCGTTGACATCGCGCGCTCCAAACCGACTCGAGATAGGAGCTGCACTCGTGGCCAGGCAGGCAGCTCCTTAATCCAATCGTCCTCCCGGATAATAAATCAGTGGCGTGGTAGCGTCCCATCCGTCTATCTCCTCGTTCGACTGCGCCGCTCGTTTCTGACAATTTAAGATCAGAGTACTGTGCCTCGGGCTGCTGGGCGCGGATCTGCAGGTTGTCTGCGCGATCCCGACCGGCCCAAGCCGAAAGTTCTTGACCCCTGCACGCGGGAAATAAGGCTCGTTACCGATCGTCCAGTTCGATCGTAGCGGCGAATTGTTCGCGTCAGATCGATGCCGCGTTAGATCTTTCACGTCGATTTGCGTTTCTTGTTCGCACAATTTCTCCACGCACGGACACGAGTTGCTGGAGGATCTCCAGTTATCCACGCACGAATGCCTCGTCGAGCAAGATCTTTTCGGCTTGCACGGACTGTTGTCGACGATAGACTCTAGCTGACTGTTCGCTCCAGAACACTTCTGGTTCAGTTGATCCGAGCTGGCAAAGCGTAATCGTTTTGGTGATTCGCTCGAGCACCTCATGAAGGTTGATCTTACGAGAGATTTGTTTTTAAGAGAGCTTCGTGGTATCAGAGGGTTGGAATTGTTTCTGGCGTAACCGTTTCTTCGATTCTCCCGTTCCCTGCTTCGTTCTTCTCGCAGGATCGGGTCTTCGCCGATCAGCCAGTAGGTTAAACGCTCGCCCTTGCCCTTCATGGAGACCAACCCTCTTTCTACTATTTTGAAACCTCCAACTTGGTCCAGAAGTTCCTTCGTTTCTCTGCTGCAGTGGATTTTTAAAGCTGAAAAGCAGAGGATATCGAGCGTGTGATGCAATGATACCAATATTTAGCAATGTGAAGCGTCAAAGTTTACATATATCACAGAAAATTCACGAGATACTAATGTAAGGGTGTCGGGCGAATTATAAACAAGCGGTTGCGGATCATGTGCGTGGTGGGGCTAAGACAAAAGACACGAGGCTAAGACAAAAAGCAAGGGGTTGCCAAGGGACGAAAACGAATTAACTGTCTATCTAATATCTAGTTGTCTTAATTATAATACGTTATTGCGATTAGTTCACGTTAAACAACCATCGTTTCTTGTTTAATCAACATCTGTTTGATCCATTTATTGTAAATAAACGTAATAAAGATCCTACACTAATATAACATATTCACTGCAAACCTCGAAGTTGTATTTCTTTTTTCATAAGAATGCGATCGACGTAACAGTAGGGAATATGTACAATGGAAGAATCATTTCGAAGTCCTAATATCGAGCAGACGCATCAGGAAATTATATCCAAGGCTACGACCTTCTTTCTTTCTCTCTTGATGCAAATTAATAATTACTTACCAGATCCAGTGGATTCCATGCGGCTAGCAGTGTTCACGGTATCACCAAATAGACAATAACGTGGCATTTTTAGGCCGACCACACCGGCGCACACGGGACCTAGGTGAGAAATAAAAGTGGATTAGTTGTATTTGGCACGATCTAAAATCGTACATCGATGTTTTCTCACTGAACTAACCGGAATGTATGCCAATTCGTAGTTGCAGCTTATCCAGCGGCCTGTGTCGAATTGTAAATTGTTTTACGGCTTCTAGGAGGCACAAGGACATACTAGCTATTTCTCCTGCGTGCTGAATACCGTTTCGAATTGGTAAACCGCTTACCTGTCGAAAGGAGTATAATTCAGGATCCTGTATCACATTTAGATACTTTGTTTACTTACCACCATGTAAGCATCACCGATAGTTTCCACTTTATAGACGTCGTAATTTTCTATCGTCGAATCGAAACAGGTGTACAAATCGTTCAGAAAATCTACTACCTGCGAGTGAAATAAATTCGTTTGAAATTGATATGCTAATATTTACGTTGATATTGATATTTAACGTTGCAAATGTTCCTCCGTACCGGTATAATTATTTTAATATCGATATCATACGATACAAAAATGCAAGTAGTTCGTAAATTTCGAAATATTCCGGTAGAAATTACCTGCAATGGTGTGCTTTCGGCAGACATGGCGGTGAAGCCGACAATGTCGCTGAAGTAAATTGTAACGCTATCGAAGCTTTCAGCTTCAACTTTGTGTCCCCGTTTCAATTGCTCTGCCACGTAACGCGGTAGCATTTCGTACAGCAACGCGTCTGAAAGACAAAATTTCGTGTAATATAATTTGAAGGAAACGTGATAGCGTTTTAATTGAGTGGCATTTTATGGAACGTCGAGCAACCTGTCTTTTTCTTCTCCTCCGTTAATTGGTCCGTTCGTTCGTCGACCAGCGCTTCCAGATTATTCGCGTATTTCTCCATCATGGCCATCATGTTGTCAAATATGTTTGGCTTCCTGAGAAAAGCATATCTTTAAGTTATTCCAACTTTTACTCTCTTTCATTTATTTATCTTGCTTTATTTTAACAATTGGAATTAAATAAAAATAAATTTATTTTATCAAGTGAAATTAAAATGGCAAACGCTGGGTATATTCTCACTCGTGCAGATATTTCGTCTTTGTTGCTTTCTAATTTACGCTTATTAATCCTCGTTTATCGATATTAACTTCAAATACTTATATTTCTAGGATCTTTCATCGATTTAACAACGATATCGGCGAATTTAAATTTCAGAGAATTTATATTCTCAAGTTACGTAAGTAAATGTAATTATCACGTAGAATCGACTCTTCGTTTTATCGCTATAAAATAAGGGTTAAGATATTCAAACTTACATGCCCTTTCTCAAAGGTCTCAGTTTGTTTCTAACGATCTTGAAGTCTGGTCGAGTCTCAGGATCCTCGGCCCAGCACTCCATCAGACAAGCGCGCACGAAATGGAAACAGTTCTCCAACTGGTTCAACGGTGGTCTGAGATAATTCAAGGAAAACAGAGTAGCTGACAGGGTGAAAACAAAAGCACATAAAATTTAAGTATCTTCTGCCGTCGACAGACCGCGACTATAACGATAATACCTGAACGGTTCTGTATCCGGTTCTCTCGCGATTACTTTCTTCAATATCTCCGAAGGGGTTAATTCCGTGATTCCAAAAGGACCGTGTCTCCCTTGAAGTTCGTACAACACTATAGCGAAAGAATAAACGTCTCCTCTTTGATAATCTCGCACGACTGGCTCTTGGCTTTTCGTCGATCGTAATAATTCGGGTGCTCGATATAGCAAACCTGTAGAATTTGAACTTTAATTGTATCGTTATCCAAGACAAATGCGATTCATAAATGAAAGAACTTTGTAAAGAAAAGCCCACGACATAAAATTCATTGAGCAAATTGCAGAAGTTTTGCATAGTTCTAGTTGAAGTCAATCTTTTCGAAAATTTGTCCATGTTACCGTAGATATATGTTTGTCCTATGACTAGTCATAGATACATCGCGTCTTTTTTCAAAAAATTCATAAATTATCTGTTCGATGAATTACCGTGATACTTCTTCATGACGTCACACGGCTCACACTCGGCGTCCTTCTTGAATTCGTGCAATCCAAAGTCCGCCAGCTTTACAACCCATCGAGAATCCACCAAGCAGTTCGACGTACTCAGCGAACCGTGAAATTTTATGACGGACTCGTGCAGATAGATCATCCCCTGGAAAGCGTACAAGCAGTAGCAAACTTGTGGACGGTGAATTCTATCAAAGGCGACGATTCTGGGATCAATTGCACTCGTCTGGTTGAATACGCGAAATTCTCAGAAGATATAACCCGAAACTCTCGATAACATCGTACGAGTACGAAGTTTCAACGGGTTTTCGCGAGGATAGGGAAAGTTTCAACGATCGATTGGCATTTCGATATGAAAAATTATATTTCACTGTCTCGACTACTCCTCTGTGCGAACCGTCGTAACACAAAACGTTATTCGAAGGTTTCTCGCGACAAAATTTCCTTTCTCGTTGATCCTTTTTGGACAAAAGAGTTTGTCGATTCTCGAACGATACGTACCCTGATTATATCTCCGACTAAGGACGCCATGAACATATTATCCAGCTTCATGTCCTCGTTCTCCAAGATATCCTGCGAGAAAAAAAAAGACGAGAAAATTATACCGAGGAATTGCGAACGTTTCGTCTACTTAATTATAAACTGTCCAAGTAATTACCTTGAGACTGCCACGAGCACAATACTCCACGACGATGCATATGTTCGGTGGATCGGTACAGGCTCCGATGAAAGCGTTCAAATTATCGTGTCGCAAGTCTCGCATCTAGAGAAACGATCATTAATTTGTACATGGATCGACATATTGGGTTTCGATGTTCTCGAGGCCACAGGTTAAATAACTTTTGGTCGACTGAATCGTAGTATGTATCCTGTTTATGATCTAATTGAATATATTTAAGATATATGTCTGGCATTATAGATTCGTGCAGGCGAGACTAATTTTCCAGTATTGACACGAACTATAGTTAAAACCACAAGTTTCTACCGCAGCTCTAACAATATTAGCTCAGTTATTCGAGAAGGTTCTCATCCGCCTAATAAACTAACATTGTTAGCGAAAGTTTACGAGTTACAAGTTTCCAATATTAGGTTGTCCGAAAAGTTTCTTTCGCTTTACAAGAAAGCAATAGATGCACAACATATTTTGTTTTATATTATTTTACTGAATCACGTCTGATCCATTTTGTTCTATTAAGACCACAGCATTTGACAGATTAGGTTTTAAAGACACTTTTGGGGCAACCTGATGTAATCGGTAATGAAACAAGGAGAATTTTGCAAATTAATTTTATAAATTGTAAGAAACGATACACTAAGAAACGATAAACTTATATGCGATCTACAACTTATAATTTGTCGATTTACCAATCGTTGTTACTGTTGGTTGCTAAATTATCGCACGAGGGCTCGATAACAGACGAACGGACAATTTCTTATCGAACGATCAGAAATCGTTCGATCGAAAGACAGAGTTTGATTGATGTTACGTATACGCTGGATGTCGATCGACCCAGTCAGCCGACCAATAGTTGGCTAATGTAAACGCGATTTAAGCGATCCATTCGAGCTCGTCCTATACTTACCACTTTCAGCTCTTTCTTCATCTCCCGTGTAATTTCGATCGATTTCTTCCGAACTTTCTTTACGGCGAATATCCGCCCCTTATAAACACCAATTTGCGTGTAAATCATCGAGTAACGAAAATCAGCATCTGGGTTCGAGCTGAGAGAAACTTGGCTGGTTCTCACAATAGGCTGCGTCGTTGTCTATCCGGGAAAATTATTTCTCTCGTTAAAAAGACGTTGCTAGGTATTGTTTAAACGTTTATTAAAAAAAAACAGAAACTTTACTACATTGTAAGGTATTATAGTTATCTAATCTTACCACGTATGTAATTTTTAATTTATAATAGAATAAGCAGATTGCTAAGATCTCACAGTCGGTCTCATTGTATAAGAAGCGCAAGAGTATTATGCGGGATTTGATAGCGGAATAACGTGGAGCTTCGAAAGTCCCAGGATCAATTGGATCGAGGGAAATGACGGGAATAACAGAGAATTGGTATAAGACGACACAGAGAACGAAGCTAGGCATTTACCTTGGAATTGCATTTGGTAGGCGCCTCATTGGCTCCCGACGACTCGTCTTTCTTCTCTTTGATCTGAATGTCTTTGTAGTTCACCTTCCAGAGTAGGGAATCCAGTTCCTGCTCGTACTTCCAGTTTCTGTATAGCACCAGTAGCACCGCCATGATAATCAACAGAAATCCACCGGCTATACCGCCCATGATTTCTCCCGTGTGAGCTAAACGATTTGATCGTAAGTGGCGAATCTGTTCCAGATATTTTTCCATTGTTATCGTAACCGATTGTTCTATGCAATATCTCTGTACTTTCAAAGTTCTGCAATTTATAGTTCTATACATAGCTCTACGGTTCCACGTTTCTACAGTTCTATAGTTTTATAGTGTCCACGATATTCTAGTCTATAGTCACGATATTCTGGTCTACGGCGATCTTATCTGTGGCTTCCTTTTCATTATTATTATTGATTCTTTTTTAAATAAACGAACCATCGATTCGATCGTTTCGAATATTCGGGTCAGAGATGCTCGCTCCATTCGATTCTTTTTTAATTGTACTCCCTCGTTCAACGTCTCGTGTTCAGCAGCGTTTAAATCGGTCACGACCGTGCCGACTGTGTTTCGTTGCATAATCCGTAATCGCAGTTACGTGGTCGAGATATGTATTCGATCTCAATTAAAGGAAACGAAAAAGATATCGGCGGGTAGGAAGGGCAAAAGCTGCCCTCCCCCTCCTTCCTCCCCTCTCGGACAGATTTACATATGTAAATTTGAAGATCGGACCGGCGAACTTTATGATGTATTTTCGAACGATCGGCCTTAAAGGTACCGGAGAAAGCTGACGAATGGTAATTCGAAGGAGAACCAAGACCCTCTAGCCTGATCGCATTTTCACGAGCTCAAAAGTTTCGATTATCGAAGGGAAACATTATGTCTTACCGCTTGAAACCGAACACGTTGTTCGTTACCTCTTTGCTTTCACTTTATTTCCCTCTTTTTTCTCGATCAAATGTCACGAAAAATTGATTTATCGCTACCGTTGACGAAACCAGAAACGATAAAAAAGATGGTCGTATACGTACAAGTGCATTTTTCACCGTGGTAACCGCAATGAGGCTCGGCGATGGGCGGCCCGTCACCGATCCACGAAATATCCCTTGTCAATCGAAGTTTCTGTAAGTGAAACGTGAATCGATAAACGAAACCAATGGAACGTGGCCGGTAAGAAAAAGGCATGGTTAAAAAATCAGTTAACGTCTTACTGGCAGATTCGTGCCGTTCTCTTTTCCCACAAAGTAAGCTATAGGGTATAAACCGTGTCCCTTTGTCGGTCGATTGTCCAGAGCAATCAGAGTGTAATTGCCTTCAGCGTCTCCGTTTTCGTCCATGTAGACCATGTATCTGTACAGACGATATATCATGCAACAGGCAGGCGTCGTAACGCGCGCTTTACGCGCGCTAAAAGTCCTCGTAAATTGCGCAAAGAAACCCGTGAAGCGTTATTTCCCGTCAATTTTTATACCGTCGTTTCTCTTTCGCTCGTTATTAATTTTGCAGTTCGTTACTCGTCAAACGGTATAACGAAATATTATGCAAGCAATTATTCCACGATATTGGATAGCGGAGATACGAGCATCGATTATTTTAAGAGAGGTGGAAAATTACGAGAATCCGAGAGCAAGGATAGCCGCGTGAAAGCCTTAATTATTTCGTAGTGTCAATTATCATTCTAGACGCTTGCGTCATCGTAATAACGGCCGTCTCTGCTTTATTTGCCTCGTGTACTTTAAACCGTCTTACGCACAGACGTAAATATTTCCACGGTGATTCAGGTGATCTCGTATCCCCTTCTCGAATTCCACGATTAATATCACCACGATCTGTCGGATAAATCGCCGTTACAAATAACAGCTGCTCTAACTTTCCAACTTTATCGAACTCGATTAAATTTTATAGAACGCGCAACGATCAAAATTTTAGTAGAAAATCGATAGAACGTTTTTACTAGGAAGGATCGTAAAATATTTCTGTAAGTTTCGAAAACAATTGGTAACTTTGTTACAAGTAGCGTTCACGAGAATATCGTAGAATCGTCGTAAAATATTTCTTATGGGCGCTATTTACGGTTATGTTTATCGACGCATTCGTATTTCTGCATAACAAATGAATTACTTTACGTCATCTAGAAACAAGATAAACGTCGTTCTAATCTCTAGTTTTGTCCTCAAAAGTCGCAGAATCTGCATAATTATTTCTTTGATCGTTAAACGGCTAGGTTTTCGTCGAAACATGCAAAGAACGACGAATTGCCTCGTTTTCATCTTCGTCCACCCGATTACGATATGCAAACGGTAATCACTTCGTCGAAGATACATCGCCCAAGTACGAGTCGACCATTTTCGGCGTACTTTTCGCACCGCGAGATCGTCCCGCCACGAAACTGATTTACATATCGTAAACCGGCGCGATAAACAGCCGATTCCTGACCCACCTCGCCTTTTCTCTTTTTCTTGTACGTACCCCATGGCGCTTCGATAGTGAACGCCGTAAAGAGTCGCCACCATTTCACGACCGTTTCGAGGGTCTCGATTCTCGTCCAGAGCTTTTAGCAGCGATCTTTCGTACAGATGCACCGCGTCGTACAGATACGCCGTTTCTGGCACGATCTGCCTTATAACACAAACAAACGATTACGTTTAAGAGTGGAAGATGCTTTTCCATTTGCGTCGAATGGAGAAGAAATTGTATAAATGTCATGGATCGATGGGAATTATTTTTATCCGTGGCTTATTGCGTTATGAAAATTATAATACGAGAAAGATGATGCAGAATTTGATATGTCTCAAGAAGAAAGATAGGAATGTGATATCTTCGGACATAGAAACTAAATAATCGACGTCATGGATCGACGTCGAATAATAGATCGTGGGTCTTTATGTCTTTATGGAAATTTCAACATATTAGGTTGTCCGAAAATAGACGCACGACGTTTTTTATTTTATATCGTTTTGTCGAATTACGTACCATCCATTTTGTTCTGTTCAGATAAACACCGCGACATTTCGCTCACTTGGTTTCACGTTTGTACGAAGGTGCACTGTTGTAAAAAACACGTTTACGAAAAAAAAACATACTTTTCAGACAACCTAATAAAACATCGCGGAGAACACGCACGATATGCAACAAATATATAAAATATCGAAAGTATAATGTTCCTTGCAATCCTCGGAGAACGAAACTTTCTATTATCTCAGTTTTATTTGGTTAGTTGCGTCCGTAAAAATTCGAATCTCCATAAATATCCACAATTAGTAACGTCGTGGCGTTTCCATTATCGAAATGACAATTTCTCAAGGTATGTGATTATGATAGTCACCTGAATAATTCCACCCATGTTCGCCAGTGGATTGGTGAAATAAAATGGATGCTTTTGCCTGTACTGATTCACCATTCGTGTAAAATTCTTCGAGTAAATTGGAGCGCTAGCTACCACGCTGAAGTAGCTGCGATACGCTTTCAGGATCGACGAGTTGGTCTTCTTCTGCCATAAACCACGGAAGTATTTGTCCGGTCGTTTCTCGTCGTATTGCTCGATATCGACACCGACCACCCAGTACTCGCCTGCGGCACGAATTCACGCGATATGCTTTTTTCTCCGCGGACGAGCGTTTAATGAGAAATCTATACAGGATCGTTAGAATGACTCGCGTGGAAAATACGGATAGAAAAGAAAAACGTATGAATTCTTTTTCCTCGAAGGTCTGAATCGCTTGCGCGACAAATAAGAATAATTGTATTTTTGAGATGATCAAGCAGGATGGTTTTAGTAAAGCTTCGAAGACGAATATTAGACTACGATCTAATGACACTGCTCTCTAGTATATGTACCTGATTATGTTACAGCGGATTTATACCTTTTTCCAAGAGCTTCCTTTCGTCCAGAGCCATCAGCAGTCCCATGTGTTCATAGTAATTCCCTAGAATCACGTAAACTGGAACAAAAGCGTCGTACTGTCTCAACGATCGAATTTCAGGGATTATTTTCCTTCCTTTACTTGAAATTTTAATGATCCAAGAATTACTTTTTGCCTTCGAGTAATCAACTTTCTCCCTAGCTGCTTTTAATAGCCAAAGCAGGTCAATTTACGACTATTTTTAACAGAAAATTAAATGTATATCGAGTTATCAGGCAATTTACGCGCCGTATCTATTCACCGCGCGAAATTTCTGCAATCGTAACATGCGGGCTACCGTTCGTGTTCCAAATGTGCTCTTACACAAACTCGATGAAAAATCAAACTGCGGGTACTATATTTTAGACGGTACGCCGTTTGTGATTTGAAAAAAAAAGGGAACGTTAAAAATCATTTCACCGTTACGACGATCGTCGCAAAGTAAAAAAGCAGGTTTTGTCGAACTTGGATAGGCAAAACCATTTTTACGTCCTTTCTTCTCTTACGAATTACTAAATCGTTTTATACTCACTTCGCGTTTCCCGATATGTTTCACTGACGTGTTTGTGGAACGGATTAGTCATATGCGTGACGTGATATGGTTCTTCCCAACAACGAAGAAAGTTCACCGTCACACCTGCAGAGTCGAACGACGATAGAATCGTCTCCGCGATCGTTGACATCTTGTTAAATTCGAACAGGGTCGAGTTCATGTACATGAACGTCACCTAAACGTTACAAACGAAGCTACAGGGATGTTGCCAATTTATAATTTTCGAGCGTTCCACGTTACTAGCAACAGTATTTCAAGACATAGGAATTCCAAGCCAATATTCTTCGAAATTCTTATGTTCCGTGAAACGATTCCAAACTTTGCTCGATATTCGGACGAATTAAAAAAAGGAAAAAAGAAAAATCGTAACCTATGGTAACTTGGAAGCAAACCTATAGAATCGAGTATAGATTCTAAAATGAAATCTGTTAAAATTTACGGATCGGTCTGACGACTCCTTTCGTCGCGGCTTATTCTACTTACTTTCGTCCAGTTAAATGCCATCAGCACGGAAACGACGGACTTGGAGATTTGCGTATCGGGTGGTCTGGTTCTCGCGAACGTGGGGAATTCCTTTTTGTCGGACGATTCGCGATGAGTACAAAACTGAAACAAAGTTTGCAAATTGATGAACGTAATCGTCGTGATACACCTAATATCGTCTAATATTTCAAGCGGAACCACGCGGAAAGATAAATTGCGTGGCTAGTTCCACGTGCGGCAAGCCAGTTTCGAATCTGCATTGAGTTTCTAGGTTGGTCTATTACTAGGTTGGAAAGCGAGGGACACGTAATGCGAGTGATTAGTGTGTCAGCTGGACTCGCAATATAACGGACCAGCGGAAAATCGAACAACAGAGCGAACGAAATCGTATACGTACGATGATTCACGGTTGTCTCGTTTGATACCTGAACTGGATTAATTAATGCAATAGGATATTAAATTTGATAATAACGATAAGGATCGCGAGATCCGATCCAGCTGAAAACGTACGACAAATACAGCACTGTTCAAAGGTAGTTGGATATTTTGTTCTTTATAATCGCTATAGTTACGTGTAATTATTTCTATTCTTAATAAAACTTTCTTCAAACATTTAAAAGCTAGAACTGACACTCACGAAAACTCGCTAATTGTCGAACCTTGACAAACGATAACATTTATAAATGTGATAGTAAAATATAATATTTCTATTTCGTTTAATAGGAAATTAAAATTTATATTCCTTCAGATCCCATAAAAAGGTAGTAAATGTTGCCTCTAGTTAGTAATTCACCATTATTCGATAATTATACTTAACGTTATTACAAATTGACAAGTGTTCATATACTTATGAACGTTAATGTACGTTAAAAATGTAAAATTGATCGGGATAGATAAAGTCGATTAGTTTCTTTCGTTCGACAATGGGGCGAATTATTAAACGCATTTTTATCGTCGGGTCGATTAATTTCGCGCGAGTTCAATCGAAGGCAGTAGCTCGCGTTAAACGATTCGTGAAACAGCGTTCCTATATTTTTCGACACCGCGTCGCAGCCTCGAGGAGGAAAGTAAGTATTCAACGATCTGGATAATTTGCAAGGAAGACGAATGGTTTCTTTTCTCGATTTCCTCGCCCTGTCAGGACAGTCGCGAGACTAAAAAGAATTTAACGAATCGCCGCCAGAAATAGTTTCATCTTTCTTCCTCTTGGCGCGCTTTATCGTCTCTATCTTCCATCCTCTGTTTTCCTTTTCTGCAAAACTTCATTTCTCCAATCGCAGCTTGGCTATAAAACCCATTAGTCATAGTACGCAAAATATACAAGCCCGTAATATACAAAAATATATATGACATTTCTAATATAAATTTCTCGTCGCGTGATATTTAGAGAGTGAGACAAATCTCTATTTATTTTATTCATAGAAGCATGAATTCGCATAAATGGATCGGTACGATGACATTTCGAATGTGAAACTTCTAGTACGATATTCGTATATTATATATCGTATTTTGTCAGCGTAACCTAAACATTTTGCCAAAGACAGTATATGTCCAGAATAAACAAGAATAGTATTATATAGCGTTATATGCTTCTCGTTTTCTCCTTCGAAACCTATCCTTTTTTATCGTCAAGAGGCTGGAGAATATTTCTGGAATAAAAATCACTACCCTTCCACAAGAATAACAATGCGAACTCTTGATTTACTGCGATTTAAGCAACCATTACTGTATCTCGTACGATTCGTAATTCTTCCACGTATCGTTCATCGCTTACCTCGTACGAAACGTCAAACAAGTCGATTAAATTCGAATATCGTGCAAAATGTTTGGGGCTAACGAGCCTGGAACCCTGGCAGAAGCAACTGGCGAAATATAGAGATAGATAAAAGAACCGAGCTGACCATTCCGTGGCGCTGAATGGGTTAAACGTGTCGTAATCTCAGCTTCGCACATTCGTATTCCTCGGTGGTCGACGAATAATTTATTTCCTCGGTCGGCCCGCCAGCTGCTGGAAGCTTAAACCGCGCATTGCACCGCCAGATCACGTCGGTACAAACGAAAAAACGATCGAACGAAACACTTCGGAGACCGTTCGTGCCATTACATAGGGTCACGGTTCTCGATTTAAATGGAACGCAACGTTCGATAAGCTACAGTCGAAACATATACGGTGGAGTTTCGATTAACCAGATAATAGATCTTGATTAATCGGCATACTGCTTTTACCCGGCATAGAAATCATATCGCACGGTAGATACAATTTTTTTAGTTAGTTCTCGATTTAGTTGGGCTACTACTTGGGGCCAAATTAGAAGATTAATCAACGTCCAACCGTACTTTCGGTATTACAAGCCGTGCAACGTTTGTTTTCGGTCGCGTGCTGCGGTCCTTACGATTGTATCTTTCCACGCGAGTAACTTACGATATTGCGAGAAATATAAGAGATCCGAACGAACCAGAAAGGTTTAATGGAAAGGAAAGACGTTAGGAGTGTCCAAGACTCTCAGTGGTACTTGATCTTGTCGATATACGAAGAAACCGCGATAAAAGTAACATCGAGCTGAAAGCATGCACACAGCAAACTTGTTACTCGACCAAAGTGCTCCTAAAGCTTAGGGCTCGCGTTCCGTTAAAAGAAGAGGAGCCTCGTGCCGAGGGAAGCTTTTCCTAGATTTCGTTCGACTGCATTCGTACTACGAACTTTTCGTGGCGATACATTCGTCGTTACGCAACCGAGAAAGCATTTCGTACTAAAGAGCACGCGAGCGAGAGCATTCTTCAACGTTTCCATATTCGTTTCCCCTCTTTTTCCAGCTTTTAATTCGTCGCGTTACCAGTTTTGCGGACGATAAGCATATCGAAGAAAGAGGTTGATTCTCTATAGTTTCTCTTATAACAGGGTTTCTCTTTCGTATAAGTAGATTCAGTCGGTAGAGTTCATTTAATCAGACGCGAACTAATATTTCGTTACGAAATTCTATCCTACTTTTTCCATTTGTTAGAAATAATACGAGAAATTTTATCGACGAAAGGAATAACTATTTTTTATTCAATTAGTAAAGTAAATAGAACTATTTAATCAGAAATTAAATAGTTCGTTATTGAATTCTTCGTCGTCGGATTACATCGCCGAAGGGTTAATAGAGAACAAAGTGGAAACGTTTCAGTTGACTCACGAACACACAGATTCGCGAGATAGACACGCGCATACACGTACCGGAATTCTTTGTCAAGGCTAAGAAAGAAAGAAAAAGCTACTTACGTAAGATATCATTGGAAGGTTGAACGCCGCCGCCATTCTGCCCTCGTGGATGCAAGTTTCCTGGGGTCCTATGTAAACGCTGATATTCTTCGTCCAGAGATCGGCGGTCATCAGGATGCTGGTCTCCTCTTCGCCATAAGTTTCCGCGACCAGGAAGTCGAGCTTGTGTCCGCGTCGACCGAGCTCACCTGCGTTCACCTACCAACCCAAGCAATATATATATATCCTACATTCTACTCGTGGAATTAATTAAATTCAATCCCATCCTCGCGGCTCTACTTCCCCGCGTCGTTCAAAGCGAACTCTACTTTCGCGCTAGCTATCTCAGAATTTCCTTCCAGCTAAAAACGAGAAGATTATTCCAAGCTAATTTTCTCGATAAGGCATTCAGGCGTTCGCGACGAAACTTTTTTCTCGAGAAGAGAGATTTGTCTGGATTTTACCAAGAATATGTTGCGATAAGTGGAACAGAGGGATTCCAAAATTGTATCGTTGTTAATTAGGTACTTCCGTGCTAATTGTGGTCAGTCTCGAAGCATTCGGGGAAAAATATGCGGTTCGGTTACCTCCTCCACGGCGAGCGATATGGCGCCGGATATCCGGTAACCAGGACGCTGATACTCCAAGTCGCCTGGACGTCTTTTCGAACCGGTGATGTACCCGAGGGTGAATGTCTCGGCGTAGGCGCCCTTATCGAGTAAAATGTGGATCGCCGTTAGTAACAGACAAGCCCTCTCCACGTTTGCCAGTAGCATGCCCAGTTGCCGAACCTTCGCAAATTGATTTCATTTATGTGTCATTACAATCTTGTACTAATCTGACTCGTTATAATTTCTATCCTGTAATCTTCCTTATGTCTTTGTATAAAATATATAAAGACAAAATTACAGCTCGTTTCGAATTTAATTTATCATAATTTTCGTTCTATGCAATTTTCATGTCTTATTTTTCTCATTAAAGGATGTTGTACGCAATAATCAAAAAACTCTGCCTTTAAGTGTACCGTTTGCACTTAACGGAAGCGAATCTTTCGTACATGCACTACAAGCGATCGACTGCATCGAGCTTCTGTTTGCAAGTGATATCCGATAAAAGCACAAGCTCGCCGGCGAAAGATATAGAGAAGGTAATGGATGAATCCAGTAAGCTCGACGGGGTTGCAATAAACACCATCGATCTCCAACGGTGTGCCACACTTCCTCTTCCTACTATTTCGCTTTTCGTTCACCGCTAACTACCTGCTACCAATGTCCTTCTTCCGCCTAAACTATTGTGTTACCGAGCGGTGGACCTCGACATCTTACAAAAGAGATACGTTTCTCGTGATCGATCGAACCGCGTTTCATCCGCGTACGAAGCTTTCAAATCGAATTTGACTTCGCCTTTCCGATATTGCAGCATCGAGCACGCCTTTACGATGTTCCCTCGCTCGCCCAATTTTCTTACATTTCCTTTGTTCGACGATCGAAACGCATCAAGCCGTCCTTTGTACGAATATTTCACAAATGAAATTATAGGAGAATAAAAAATACTATTCGCTGTATATTATCGCATTATAAAACGCTAACGTTGAAGCGCTATTTTTTAAGCATAAAATTAGAAAATTAATAAAATTAATTTCTCCTGTGATCTCCAAATGTAATGGAAGCTGAATCGACGTTCTCACGAACAGGAAAACGATGCCTCGCTTGTGATTCAGATGGCGGCAAAGCCGACGTTGTTAATCAATGGCGGTGACTCAACGCATCGCTGTCATTCCTTTCTTTTTCTACACTGTCGTATCGTCGCGACGTACGATCGCGAAATCCTTTCGTCTTCTTCTAAGTACCGACAATCTACTGTCTTACGTAACTGCAACTTGCGAACACATTTAAAATTCTGTCCAACGACCTCGTCGGTTTTTGACGCGTTATTAAAATAGAGCACTCATAATAGATCGAAACGGGGACCGATGTTCATCGACGCAATTCCTACGTCCACGATGGACATTGAAACGCGACTAAGAGAATGGTAACAAAATTAGAACGCGACTTGTGCACGTCAGCCACACACGGCTTTCCTGTTAATCCTCATGCCGTTCGACCAGAAAACTTTCGACGAAATTTCAAGTTGAAACACTCGAGAAACAAAATACATCAACGTAGGATTATTTGAGTCATCCGAGCTTCAACGTCTTGGGATTTAATCTCCAACCTGGAAATAGACAGCGAAATAGCCTATAGAAATAAAATAGTGTAGACGAGCTACTGGATTACGATAGTTACAAATTGAGAATATTAACATCGATCGAGGAAACGTAAAAAAGCTATCGAGTTGTCGATGTTTCGCAGCTTACCACGCCATTAATAACGAGTTAACAGCTTGTTTTCGAACGTAGATCGCTTAAAAATCGTTCATAACCGAATTCGGCAAATTGATTAGCTTCGCTCGAATAATCTTGTTTCACCCTGCAAGAAATTGCGAACGAAAATCGATGGCGTTGTACTCTTTCTCCTTCGGGTTCGACTTCGACATGGTGATAAATGCGCCGTAACTTTCAGCTGCCCCAATGGTAATTAACGAGGTGTGCGGGGTTATTAAGCGCACGCGAAAACGGGGGCGGCTAAGAAATTAATTTTCCGTGGGTGGACTGTCACAGTCGGATCGATAATTTCGTACGTGGCAAGGAATAAATCGATTAAGCGTTTCCATCGGTCGAATATACCTTTTAATGGCTGCCGACAATTAAACAGATAAAAATCTTGACAGGGTATCTCGTTTGGACGCTGGCTATGAAGACTTCGTTCTCTTATCGAGAGATTTATCTCCCAGTCTGGTTGTATTGTTCGTGATTTTTTCTTTTTTTTTTTTTTTTAGTCACTTTAAAAGCAATCAGGCCGCGAAATCGACTTTGACTACCGTTTTTCATTCGATATTTTATATTTCGTTTCATCTGCATGATAAGCGAGAATCAATTAATCACACGATATCGTTCCATTGAATTCACAGGCTAGTTTTATTAAATTTACTCCGATTGTTTCGGTTCGAATAATTTACGAAATGGTAGATTCAACGGTGTGAAATTTCCATCCAGCGACCCTATTCGCGGCGACGCGAAACGACGAAACACGAGCCGCAAATCTTCCATCGTGTTACATTGACGGAACGTTTACTTACCACCGAGACTCTAATTAACTTTGAAACTGATTCGTACAAATTTCCGTTTGACGCGTTGCAAGGCACGTGGCTCAATTAAGTCGGATACATGACGTCTTACTAAGAATATCTCGGTACTCGTTTACCGCTACCCACGTTCATTTATGCGTCGCGATGCTCCAACGTTACGTGTCCTTAATTAGTAAAGAATTATCGCCCGGTTGCAACTATCGCCAAGGCGAAATCGAATCTGCTGTTGCGACGAATCGTAATCTCTTCATTATATTCCCTTGGTGGCTGGAACAAACGACGGGCATTAAATTCGAGGTAGAAGACGCATCGAGCGTGCCTATACGTTACGCTTGTATCGTGAGAGACTGGCGTGAATCTTGCGTAGCTGGCTGACTTTTGCGCCTTCTTTTACTCGGTGAATGCTTGTACTTCTTATTTTTCCTCTTCGCTTTATTTCACTCCCTTTTCTTTTTTCTTCTCTCCTTCTTCGTTTTCTTATTCTTTTTCGTCCTTTCCCTGTTTTCATAATAGCGTTTAAATACACATGTTCTCTTTCTCTCACCGCGCGAAAGAAATCGTGAGAGCCGTATCGAGATGGAGGTCGTAAACAGACGCGATATTAAAAGGCCGCAGAAACAGATTTATGGCGTCGTGAACAATCGTCGATATAGTTACGCTCATGGTGGCGAGCTTCACAGTCAACGCTAAGAGACGGATCTTTAACACATTCTTAACGAAGCTCGCGTTTTACTCCACCGGCAACAGGTTAATCGTTCCTTTTAACGCGTTTCAAGCCTATCGAACGAGGGTGTGGAAAGAAGCTTCTTTCTTTCGAAATATTTTTCTGCCCTCTACTTCTTCTCCTCTGTTATTTTATTTTTTAACTCTGTTTCCCTCGCTTCCTCTTTAGACCGCTTCTTTTTTTTTTTCTTGGAATATTTCGTTCGTAAAATGTATGGAACACGTGAAAATATAATGCAAGAAATGATAGATTTTTAGAGGCGAGATCAAGGAATTTTGGTGGACGATTGTTCTTTCGAGTGCAATTGCGCGAAATGATAGAGGTCGTTTTAACAAGCGACAGGTGCTGGTTCGAAGCGACGGACATGGAAACCTGTACGGGAACTTCGTAATGTGGTATTCACCGCGCGTATTTCCGCTTGTCCCGGATAAATTTCCCGCCCTTATCTCGCGCCGTGCTAAATAAATATTCCACCTAACGCGTGCTTTATCGCGGAAGATCGCGAGTCGTAACGTACGTGCCGTGCAATATCGTCAGAATTATATTCCTTCCGTTCCGTTTCTTTTTCATCGTCTCTGTTCGAACAGCGGATAATAGGCAAATTTTCCGGAAACAGCGGCAACTTCCGTCATTTTCGATAAACTTCGAGGAACGATAATGTACGGATCGAACGAGTATGAGAAACTTTGTGATTCGTGAGCGAAATACCGCGCAAGAATAAGGACGATATTCAATAAAAACATATACGGGCTATGCCGTGTATAAAAATCCATGTGACTGAAAAAAATACTTAGTAGCCAGTTCTTATATTAGGTTGGTGCATATGAAATTTCGTTTCTTTGAAGTTTAAATTTGACGAAAATATCGCGCGTTAAATTCTGTCCTATCTTCAATCACCAACCACATTAAAGTAAACTCGATGTCACGTATAACGTAATTCGAAATCACATAAATTCGATGTTGAGAAGATTTACAGATAATAAAGATATCAAAACCTCATTATCGATGCTAAAAGTGTCGTGAAAGTCGCAGGAAACATAAATTTTCGGCAGGGTGAAGGAGTCCCCTGTTCTACATAAATAATTTTTTAATCGAAAGAAACCGCGATACTTTCTTTTTAAGAATTTTCGGATTCTCCAATCGACTTTACAAATTCGCACCATTGTTCTTCGATCTTCGTTCTCGTTTTTTAATTTTTCTTTTGGAACAAATCGTTCGAAATTTTTCAGCTTTCGACGGTTCGAACGATCAAAATTTCCTGCGACTCCGTAACAAATTTTCAGCCTCGAGACCATCGTCATTTTCCTTCGTCAAAGCCAACAGGAAGAGTCACCGTTTTCACATTTGGCATTCGTTTTCATTCGCGATCGCCGGTGAAAAGTTAGAGGAAAGGCGTTTTCGAAATCCGCGGCCGACTCGCCAGCTGACGAAGGTCAGCGAGAGAAAGTAAATGTACCTGGTTGTAGCACGTTTTTATTACTATTTCCTTGAGGAGTCGCGGTATCGAGCGCCTCGGGTATTCTTCGAGCACGTTACAATTCGCCATGGTCTCGCGCCAATGTGCCTTCTACGCGTCTACACGCGTGTGTCCGCTTAAGCTATTACATATGTGGAACACGTTTGTTCATACTGCTGACTATATTTAGAAGTTTCTCGAAAGCGAACGTTACACGGTGAACCGTGCATAAGGAAAAGCCCCGCGAAATCTGGAGTAGCGCTCTGGGTGTATATACGCAAACTGTAAACGTTCGTTCGCGCGTTTGTGACGGCGACGCGCGTCGTCGTTTCGTTGACTAGATCAATATTGAGATTTAACGCGTAACAAATACATATTTTTCTCCGGCTGTTGCAAAAGATTGCAACGTACCTACGCGATCACATTTCATTTTTAATGAAATATCGCGCGAAATATTACGTCGGTGATTATTTACTTCGTGAGATTTATCCTATTTTAATGATTCTAAGAGATTAGGTAAAAAGAAATTTAACGACTCAGCGATGCCAGTGAACGCGTTAAAACGGATATCATGCGATTTCCGTGTGGAATGGAAATTATTTAACGCAGCAGCGAACGCATTGATCGATTAAATCTCCTCATTATCAACTTCGAAATGTATGGTCCGACCAAAGAAATAAATAAATGCGGGATAGAGGGATCGTAGAAAGAAGAAAAGGAGAAAAATATACGACGAAGGTTAAATCGTAAGGTTCGCGGAGCATGTTGCGTGTCAGGGACCTTGTCATGCTGCAACTCGATGGAATCTGATAAGGTCCATCGAGCGGGATAGGACACTCTCTTTTGTCGGCTCCTTTTTTATAACAATTTTTTACGAGAACAAGCAGCCCAGCTTCTGCGAATGCTATTGGATAGGGACTCGCATGACCCACGGTTGGCCGTGGTTTCATACAACTACGAATGACAAAAGAACGGTCTCATAACCCGCAAAATACGAGAGCAGCCGCGTCCTTTCTCCTCCAATTTGCAAACGGTGTATCCTTGAATTCTCCGAATTAATTTCTTCGAATTACCGGAGCAGCGCAAGAAATAGAAACCAAGCGTCGAGAAATACGACTCGGCGGTTGATCGCGTTCGATTCGAAGGTAAAAGTAATCACGAAGAATGATTTGCGACGGGGAATCTCGACTACAGACCGGCAGAAAGTGACTCGATGCGATCATGGGGGCCGACTTTCGAAAAAGGTGATCTCGGTATCTGTGTCACATGGTGTTACATAGAGAATTTTAGGCACGCCTCGATTCGGTTGCGTCAACGGGTTATACGAAGCCACGAGTCTCGAGCTGCCCGATTCAATTTCTATTCGTTCACTGTTCGACGATCATTTTCTAATTAGACGAGCTCGTCAAGTAGGAATGGCGGATGATCGACGCGCGCATAATCGTTGGATAAACTCGACAACCGTCTGACGAATAATTTATGAGACTACATTAATCATACCGTGAGTTACAAGTGTCATCGACGAGTTAAAGATAGCTTTGACGAGTGTCGCGAGACCATCCTTGCTGCCAGACAACAATAAATCCTGCCGCAGCAAGATCGGCCGTGATGGCGAGATCTAGAGCAAACAGCGAAGGCGTTGCTCGATTGTGTGCAAATCGAAATAGCGGTCGCCGATACGCGAGATACACGCTCTATTTTCGTGTTATTGGACCTTCCGTTTATTTTCGTAGACAGGCTAGGGCAAATCACCGAAACGCTGTTTGTTTCTATTCCGCGTCGAAAGGTCACGCCGAATGCCACCTCGTGTATTTTCCGAACTTCTTCACGCCCGCTGCTCGCAACTTTCAAAAAACTGCAATCTCTTTTCATCACCTTGGCTGAGTGTATTCCTCTGTACGCGAAATTTTTTATCTCGCGCTATTTGTCTTGCTGCGTTGGTCGTTGACTCGTTGTCGTCCTTTGGTTTACCTTCTCCTCCTTTCGACGATGAACCGACCGATCAGAGACGAGAACGAGGTATCGCCGGTAACTAGACTGAAACTTCTCCGATTTCTGTCCTATGTTTACGCGCGGTATTGCCAAGCACCCACGCGGATACCGTGGATTTAACGCTCGACTTCTCTTTGTTAGATGTTTCCTCGTTTCAATTCTAAAACAATTTATTACTCTGTCAGAGATATGATATGTAATATCTACTCTTGCGCTGTTGCACTTAAACGACGATTTTCAAATTGCTATCGTAATTTCTTCGCGTTGAAACTCGTTTCTATTGTATATTCATAAATCCTAAATTCCGCGTATCGCATAAATTCCAGAATTTGTTCCTATCGAAACTTGTTTCTAGCGTGCCTACTCGTAACAGACCTATCGCGCGTCAATGCGATCGTTCTAGCTAGTCACGAATTTCTTTGTGCGTTCGATACGTAGGACAAACGTTTCACAGCACAATTTCACATTTAGCCCGCGTATCGGCACGGGATCTCGGCAAACGAATAATAAGAAAACATCACGAACGTATTTCTCGATATATCCAATGAAAGCAAATTAAAGCAAGTATCACGGTATGTAATTTCCATTAAAATTCGATGTGTCCGAAAATTCGATATCATTCGGACGGATCGAAAGAATTTCGCTCATTAACGATAAAGACGAAAGTATCTCAATTAAAGAGCGAAAACGTTGCGGAATCAAAGCAGGTAGAGCCTTTACTTTGAGAGCACCGCTTCGCACCGGCTCCGGCTAAGCGCCTCGGTTTCTCGGAACGCTTACATCCTCGTAAATATCTGCACGTCGAAGTTGGTTAATACACTTTCGAACGAGTCGGCGGAAAGGGACGCAGGTGACGGTAAGTGGTTTCCTCCGACTTCTGACACCGTTCGCGTTAAAAGGTTCAATCGTTCGCGGTTGTCGACGTTCGATTTTCGAAATTTCGACCGCCCCGTCAGAAACAAGATTGGCTACACACTCACGAGACCCTATTCATGATTTATCGGGCCAAGTTTTCGTCGGCACGTGGCAACACTTGCCCGCCGCCAGTCATTCAGAACTGGCTAGAGTCCTTTCCACGTTGTCCCGATCACCTTTCCCCCCTTTCGATCACCTACCACCGTCCCATTCCAATCGCCTTCTTTTCTATTCTTCTTTTTTCGCCAGCCTACGCTCCTCCGAACATCGCGGACCTTGCCTCTCTATTTTCTCTAACCTGTCTCTGGTATCGTGTTTGTGCGCGTTGTTTTTTGGCCTACTTCAAACGACACGTAGAAGCTCGACATGGAATTTTAGGGAGTCGCAATGCAAACGAACGTTCGTACGCGGACACGTGTATGCTAATATTTGATAGAGATAGAAATGCGTGAATTAAAAATCGTAGAGACAGATTTTGTAACAATGCGTATACTGATAGAAACGAACGCGTTCTTTATAGACGAACGCGTGCGTTTTAGTATCCAATGCAGATTAAAGTACGTGGATTAACAATTTTCCGAGTACATGTTCTATTAGCTTATTGTTCGAGTGGGTGTTGCGATTTGTCACGCGTTAGAAAAACAGAGGCAATTTCAAGGAGTTGCAGTAGAAATGGACGTCGATTCACAGACACGTATGTATTTCAATATTATGCGAAGATAGTAGCGCGTTGATGAAAAATTGTATCTGCGCACGTTGTATTAGCTCATATATTACAGTTATGACTTTCGAGCGAAAGAAAAAGGAACACTTTGCTACGAAGAAAATCGAACGATACGCCTGTTAGCTTATTTTACATTGATCGAAATGTTTCATTAAAATCTTCGTTATAATCTTCTTCTTTCTCAATGAATTATCACGCTTACCTGTGTCGTCGTATTCCCGTGTAATTATACTTTGTCAGAGACAGACGATTCTCAGCGGAACACCAGAAGTCGTACGGACACGCGAAATTGCATTCCTGGAAAAGAAAGAGCGCGCAATGGACACCAGTGGCACCACGTCGATCGCGATACCGACACCGTGGAAGATAATTAAAGCATTCCAAGCGATGGCGAACTAGAATCTCCGTAATTTAAATTCGTGACTGTCGCGTGGTCCACGTGAGACATCGTGCAAGAACGCAGCCCGTAATCGTTACGGTGTATCAAAGAAATAAAAAGCACCGGTTACGGCTATTTTCCTATCTATTTCACAGATTTGTTCGCTATATCCCATTAAAGAAGCTTCATGGGAAAAATAACAAACAAACAGACAGGAGGAAAAAAACCAGAAGTTAGGAAAGTAGAGAATGATTTTTCTAAATTACCAAAGATAAGAAACAGCGCAAGGAATGATGTAACGCGCGATGAAATCGTGATGGAAAAAGACACTCGACGGAACGATCGAGAACTATATTTGTCGAAGACGGTAGAGAATTTAAATTAAAACGACCGTCCCGCCGGTACGAAGAGAACGACGTGAGACCGGCGG